CCTATGTGGGCTGAGTACTATGCTAAGTGTTTTATATGGGTCTTTTCATTTGATGCAAATAGCTATGCTAAGAGGTAGGCACTCTTTTTTTTTTGAGACGGAGTCTCGCTCTGTTGCCCAGGCTGGAGTGCAGTGGCCGGATCTCAGCTCACTGCAAGCTCCGCCTCCCGAGTTCACGCCATTCTCCGGCCTCAGCCTCCCGAGTAGCTGGGACTACAGGCACCCACCACCTCGCCCGGCTAGTTTTTTGTATTTTTTAGTAGAGACGGGGTTTCACCGTGTTAGCCAGGATGGTCTTGATCTCCTGACCTCGTGATCCGCCCGTCTCGGCCTCCCAAAGTGCTGAGATTACAGGCTTGAGCCACCGCGCCCGGCCCGGCACTCTTTTTGAACCAGTTTCCAGGTACTTTGCTCATGGTCACATAGCTAGAGGAACTGGGATTTGAATCAAAGTATTTGCATTTATCATTCCAATTCTTCACCCCTTCCTGTGTCCTTACCTTTGCCATGTGACTTTGTGGTTCCCCTAAGAAGAGGTGGAATCCATTTTCCCACCCGTTGATTCTAAGCTCAGCCATGTGACTTGCTTTGGTCAATGGGATGTGCTATAAACAGAAGCTTTAAAGGAATGCTTGCCTATTTCTGTTTGCACTCTTGTCCTCTCCCATGACCATGAAGAAAAACACGTCCAGGCCAGCCCATTGGAGGATGAAAGACTCATTCATCAGATCTAAGTCATTCCAGTTGTCCCAGCCTTGGCTATCTATGGTCAGCTTACAACCAGCCAACCTTCAGACTTGTGAGACCAACCAAGACAGCAGAGCTGCCCAGCTGCCTAGCCTCCAAAATCCATTACATAATAATTTTCAATTATGTCATCTTTCTGCTAAAATCCAACCTATCAATCAGTTAATCAATCTACCCATCTTTTAATAATTGTATGTTGCCTAAAGATGAAGTACAGACTTTTGGGTTCCTGTCTGGCATGTAAAGACCTTAGAAGTAGCTGCTCCACCCTAAAAACAAGTAAAAATCTGACCAAGCTGAAAAATCAACAATTCTTTTTAGATCTGTCAGAAAGTGAGGTTACAGGGTAAACCATTGCCCTTTAAACCAGGGAAACAGACAGACAGATACAAAGAATGACAACTTACCAAAGTAGAAACCCACAAGCAGAAACCTTTATAGAAACCAATGCTGGGATATGAAAAGCTGAACTGTAATTGATTATACAAAAGCTCAGTGTGGACAAATCTGTGAATTAAAAACTCCAAGAAGCTCCTCAGACTTTTTTGAGTCTTACTGCCTGGAGCTCTACCATGTTCTCACAGTGAACATCTCCTCATGGTTCTGGCAGGGGGTTGGAGAAAAAGTGGCCATCTGGAAGTAAGCCAGAGCATTCTGTTCTCTTTAACAAGGCCTGCCCTCAAGAGAAATTATTTTACCAGAGCCTAACCTGTCAGGGGTTTCGACAGACTAACCAAACTGGGGACAGGGAAATACCCAAATCCATCCCCTTCTATCCACCCTGTCCCATCTAATACAGGGGGAAACTGAGAGTCACTTGTGAAGTTCACAACCTAGAGGCACAGGCTCACTAAAAGACTAAGACCTAATCATAGGGCTATAGAATCCTCCTCCTTCTCCCCATCCCCACCCAACACCTTGCTGCTATATCACTAAAGGTCTATTTAATGCAATTCCTCTCATCTAGGATATTATGTCTAGATTTCAAAAAAAAAATTACAAGACATATTAAAAGGCAAGCAACAACAACAACAAAAAACCCCAGCCCCACCCTCCATTAAACACCCCCCCCAAAACAACCCAACAAAACACTGCGTGAAGAGACACAGCAAGTATCAGAACCAGACCCTCATGTGGCAGGATTGTTGACATTATTAGACCATAAATTTAAAACAACTACTACTAATGTGCTAAGGGATCTGACAGAAAAAGTAGGCAACATGCAAGAACAGATGGATAAACAGAGAGATAGAAGTTCTAAGAAGATTTACAAAATGCTAGAGAACAAAAACACTGTAAGAGAAGTTAAGACTGTTGTTAATGGGCTTACTAGTAGACAGTAGACTGAATACACTGAGAAAAGAATCTCTGAGCTTGATACTTGGAGATTAAACAATACATTTCTAAATAACTAATGGGCCAAGAGAAATCTTAAAATATTTTAACAAAATGGAATTAAATTTAAAATACATAAATGAAATTAAAATGAAAATACAACATATTAAAATTTGTGAGATGCAGTGAAAACAGTGCTTAGAGAAAAATTTATAGCATTGAATGTAGATATTAGAAAACAAAAAGATCAGCTACCTGTTGATCTTGGATTCTATGCTTTTTACCTGGGTGATGAAATAATATGTACATCAAACCCCCACAACACGCAATTTTTCTACAGAACCAACCTGCACATGTACCCCTGAAACTAAAATAAAAGCTAAAAAAAAAAAAAAAACCAGAAAGGTCTAAAATCAATCATCTAAGTATCCACTTTAGATACTAGAAAAAAGAAGAGCATATTTAACCTAAAATAATCAGAAGAAAAGAAATTGCAAAAACTGGAACAGAAATCAATGAAATTGAAAACAGGATATCAATAGAGAAAATCAACCAAATCAAAAACTGGTTCTTTGAAGAGATCAGTGGAATCAATAAGCCAGGCTAGAACAGGCTAACTAAGAAAAAAAGAGAAAGGGCACAAATTACTAATATTAGAAATGAAAGTGGGGAGACATCACTACAGATCCCGTGGACATTAAAAGGATAATAAAGGAATACCATGAAAAACTCCATGCCCACAAATTTGATAACTTACATGAAATAGAGTAATTCCTTGAATGATACAATATGCTAAAACTCACACAAGAGTAAATAGACAGTCTGAATAGGCCTATACCTATTAAATTAAATCAATAATTAATAATGTACCCAAACAGAAAGCACCAGGCCCAGATGACTTCATTAGTGAATTCTACCAAACATTTGAGGAAAAATTATACCAATTCTCTACAACCTCTTTCAGAAGATAGAAGCAGATGGAACACTTTCTAAGACATTCTATAAGGTCTGCATTATTCTACTACCAAAATCAGAAAAGGACATTATGAGAAAGGAAGACTACAGACAGTATCTCTCAGGAACATAGATGCAAAATCCTCAATAAAATATTAACAAAATATTAGCAAAATGGAATCCAATAATGTATGAAAGAATTACATATCATGACCAAGTGAGATTTATCCCAGGTATGCAAGATTGGCTCAACATTTGAAAATCAATTAATATAATCCATCACGTCAACAAACTAAAAAAGGAAAATTACTTGATAATGACAACAGATGTGGAAAAAGCATTTGAGAAAATCCAGTACCAATTCATGATAAATTGATCAGACTAGGAATAGAGGGTAACTTCCTCAACTTAATAAAGAATATTTATAAAAAACCTACAGCTAACATCATACTTAATGGGGAGAAACTGGAAGCTTTCCCACTAAGATTAGGAACAAAGCAAAGGTATCCCCAATCCTCCCTGCTTTCCAACATTGCACTAGAAGTCCTAGCTAGTGCAATAAAACAGGGAAAGAAAATTAAATATATACAGATTGGGAAGGAAGAAATAAAACTACCTTGCTTGCAGATTACATGATTGTTTATGTAGAAAATCCAAAAGAATAGACCCAAAAAACCCCCAAACTCCTAGAACTATTAAGTTAGTGCAAAAACCACATGGCAGAAACCACAATTACTTTTGCACTAACCTGATAATAAGTATTGCAGTAAGGTTGCAGGATACTAGGTTAATATACAAAAGTCAATTGCCTTTCTATATACTGGTAATGAAATGGTGGACTTTGAAATTATAAACACAATACCATTTACATTAGCACCCCCAAAATGAAATCTAACAAAATATGTACAAGATCTATATTTAAAAAAACTATAAAACTGATGAAATAAATTAAAGAACTAAACAAATAGAGAGATATTCCATGTTCATGAATAGAAAGACAAATATTGTCAACATGTCAGTTCTTCCCAACATTATCTATAAATTCAGTGCAAACCCAATCAACATTCTAGCAGTTTGTCAATATGCTTATTGACAAACTGACTCTATAGGAGAGGCATAAGACTCAGAATAGCCAACACAGTATTGAAAGAGAACAAAGTTAGAAGACTAACACTACCTGACTTCAAGCTACTGTGTGGTATGGGTGAAAGAATAGGCAAATAAACCAATGGCACAGAATAGAGAGCCCAGAAATAGACCCATAGAAATATAATCAACTGATCTTTGACAACTGATCTTTGACAAAGGCAATACAATGGAGAAAAGATGGCCTTTTTGGGAACTACTAAACATCCACATGCAAAAAAAAAAAGAATCTAGACACAGACCTTACACCCTTCACAAAAATCAGCTCACAGACCCAAACATAAAGCACAAAACTGTAAAACTCTTAGAATGTCATAAATTTGTTAAACATAGTTGCTGCGTTGGCATCCATTTTGAGGCCTGACATAAGTTCTTTGAAACTCAGTTGTACCCTGTCACCTTTGGCCTCATTAAAACTTTTTCTGTGTGGTTATTTTCAGTATAACCCACTTGTTCCTCATCTCATGAACCCAAAACCCAACACATCCCATAGCGGCTGATTGTGATGTCAATACCTAATTGTCAACACCAGAATTATGTGAAAAAGTCCCCTACTTTGCATGTTTGTTTGTTTTTGAGACGGAGTCTCACTATATCACCCAGGTTGGAGTGCAGTGGTGTGACTGTGTCTCACTGCAGCCTCAATCTCTTACGCTCAAGCGATCCTCCCGCCTCAGCCTCCTGAGTAGCTGGGACCACAGGAGCACACTACTGTGCCTGGCTAATTTCTGTATTTTTTTTTGTTGAGACAGGGCTTTGCCAGTGTTGCCTAGGCTGATCACACTCCTGAGTTCGAGCAATCCACCCACCTTGGCCTCCCAAAATGCTGAGATTACAGGTATGAGCCACCACACACAGCCTGCCTATGTTTTCTTTAAAGTAGCCAATTCACAACTCCCATGAGAAAGCCTAAGGAATAGTGCCCATGGACCTTAATAAGGGCATAGTCCCACAGGTCTTCTTTCTCTCTCACTTTCCACCTGATGGATGAGATCGCTACTGCCTCCAGATTTCCTGATGACCTCCTATCAACACCCCAATCTCTCTGGTACCTGTAAGTAACACATTTCTTCTATTTTATGCATTCTGGTTTCACTTGCTCATTGTGCTTCACCTGACACAAGCACCTGAATCTAACTTTCCTCCTGGTCAGCCCTCTCCTAGAGAGTGGCTATCTTGGCTTATTACTACTCTCAAGAGAGAGAGCTCAGGATCAGATTAGAAAAAACTCACAACGTAGAAGATAACATGGGACAAAATATACATGACCTTGGGTTTGGCAATGACTTTTTCCATATAATACCAAAGACATGATACATGCAAGAGATAATTAATAAGCTAGACTTTATTAAAATTAAAAATGTCAGCCGGGTGCGGTGGCTCACGCCTGTAATCCCAGCACTTTGGGAGGCTGAGGCGGGTGGATCATGAGGTCAAGAGATCGAGACCATCCTGGCCAACGTGGTGAAACCCGGACTCTACTAAAAATACAAAAATTAGCTGGGCGTGGTGGCAGGCACCTGTAATCCCAGCTACTCAGGAGGCTGAGGCAGGAGCATCGCTTGAACCCGGGAGACGGAGGTTGCAGTGAGCTGAGATTGCGCCACTGCACTCCAGCCTCGTGAGAGAGTGAGACTCCGTTTCACAAATGAATAAACAAATAAAAAGTTTTTAAAAAGCCAACAATGAGAAAATAAACAACTTAATTTGAAAATGGACAAAACACTTGAACAGACATCTAGCCAAAGAAGATACACAGATGACAGATAAGCAAAAGAAAAGATGCTCCATATCACATGTCATTGAGGAAATGAGGAAATGCAAACTTAAACAACAATGAGATACCACTACATGCCTATTAGAATGGCCAAAATCCGGAACACTGACAACACCAAATACTGGCAAGGATATAGAACAATGGGAGTTCTCATTCATTGCAGGTGGGGATGCAAAACGATTCAGCCATTTGGAAGACAGCCTGATAAACATACTTCTACCATATGATCCAGCCATTGAGTTCCTTGGTGTTTACTAAAAGAAATCGAAATTACCTTTACACAAAAATCTGCACATAGATATTTATAGTAGCCTTATTCATAATTGCCAAAACATGAAAGCAACAAGTTGTTCCTCAGTAGGTGAATGGATAAACTGTGGTACATCCAGACAATGGAATATTATTCAGCATTAAAGGAAATGATTATCAAGCCATGAAATGACATGGAGGTACCTTAAGTGAATATTACTAAATGAAAGAAGTCAATCTGAAAGGTTACATGTTGCATAATTCCAGCTCTATGACATTCTGAAAAAGGCAAAACTGTCGATACAGTATAGAGGTCTCAGTGGTTGCCAGGAGTTGGAGAGAGGGAGGAATGAATAGGGGAAGTATGGAGGATTTTCAGGGCTGTGAAATTATTCTGTAGGATATTATAATGGTGGATGCATATCATTGTACATTTGTCCAAATCCATAGAATGTACAACATCAAGAGTGAACCCTAATGCAAACTATGGACTTTGGTTGATAATGATGTGTCCGTGGAGATTGATCAGTTGTAACAAATGTACCACCCAGGTGTGGGATGTTGAGAATGGGGGTGGCTGGCTGTGTGTATGTGAGGTCAGGGAGCCTATGGGAACTCTCTATACTTTCTACCTCAATTTTGCTATGACCTTCAAACTGCTTTACAAAATAAAGTTTATTTAAAAGGGGGGCAAGGGGAAACAAATAAAACAAATCACTAACCACGACAGCAACAAGAACGAGATGAAGTACAGATCCTAAGCCTTGACAGAGCAGCCCTGGAAACCTCGCTTTCTCAAAGTCCCATCACAAACCTCTGCTCTAGCCTAAGCAGCCTATTTAAGGTCCCCCAAATATCCCTTGTCCTTTCCCAGCATCTTTGCTGCTCACTATGTCCTCTTCTCCCACCCCCACCCTGCCACTCAACCACATTCTTCAGCATCAATGTTGGTTCTACCCACTCTGGGAAACCTTCTTAACTCATCCCCACTAGAAGGGATGTCTCCAGCCTCTGCACTCCCCTGCACCTGGGCCCGTCATCTGGCTCTTAGTGTTGGCCACCCTGTGGAGTTAGGTAGAGCATATGGTTTTTATGGATGTGTAGTAGTTCTCTAGTGTGCAAATTCTTTCAGGACATGTATTTTGTTGTATGATTTGTGTCATTGCCCTCAGACTTGTTCATATTTAATTCAAGGATTAAATCAAAATATCAAAACTTATATTAAAATTTCAAAGCAATAAGTGGCCACAAAGCTTCCACTCTGGAAGATGCATCTCACAGTCCCTCGGTGTCATAGTGTCACTGGTGGGAATGACTCCAAAGCAGCCTTCAGAGCCACCTTCTGAGCTCCAAGGTGGTGAGCCCCTGGGACTTACTGTTCCTGCCTCCACCGTGAAGACCTCAGGCTCTTCAGGATTTTCTAAGGGGATCTCTTTAGTCTGTAAAACCTTACATGGCTTACTACCAGAGGGGCCACCCCTCTGTATGCTCACCCTGGGAAGAGTGAGACGAATTCGCTTCCAAGACTAATGATCTGAGAGTCTTTTCCTGGGGCAGCAGGCTCTCCGATCTGGCAGCTGTCCGCTTCCCCTGGAGCTCTGCTGCAGTGATTTGCAACTAGGCAGATTTGATGGTGGGGGTGGGAGAGAGCATGCAGAAGCGCCCCCAATTGACCTCATGTCCCCTTCCCCACCTAGTCTCAATCACACCCACACTGACTGAGCACCACGGCTCCAACAGTTAAGCCTTTAAGGTGAGGGAACACTGCTTTCTCCGGTAGGCATGTTCTGCTAGAAATATCAGATCCTCTTCAGTGTACCTTAATTATACAAATATTTCAGGTGAAAGGTACTTTGCCCTTGCCCCAAATTACCTGAGCCATGACCTCAATCTGATCATTTTATTTTAATAGCCCCAACCTTAGAATGTTCAAATCCACCTTATTCTGTAGAGAAGTCCATGTGTCCACGGAAACTCCATGTTTCTTTGTCCTTGTGAGTCTGAATAATTAAACAGGATTTTGATGGCATGTGTGCCATGTGCATTTATTGTGCACACAGGTAGATACATGCATAACATACTAATTGAATTATTTTAAAAACATAAATATTTTGCCGGGTTACAGAAACACACACTAAATATCTAAATCTACAAATTGCTGACAAACAGCACCTTTTTTTTTTTTTTTAACAAAAGAGAGCAGTTTAATAACAGTGTTAGAAAGCTGGCAATATGTTTGTTAAAATCTTTAATTAGGGACAGGCTTTCCCAGAGGCCTCTGAAGGCAAAAGGTGTAAATGGAGAAACTGTCCCAGCCTGCATGCTCCACAGTGGCTGTGTTCCGAGCACAGATGGGCTGGTGAGGAAACTGTGAATGGACAAATGATAACAGACTACTCTGTAATTCCAACATCAGCTCATTAGCAATCTGTCAGAGATTTTAATATTTATACGGGTAAAAATGCAGAAATCACACGATCGTTACGCGACAGTGTGTGTGTCTCACTGAAAAGGCCATTATCAACGGATTGGCATAATGGCTATTAATACAACAAAAATGTCGCGGGAAGCACAGGCATTTGGATGCTTTGTGCTCTTGTTAGAAAATGACGATTTTGTGTGCTTTTAAGCCATCACAGGAAGCTGAGATAACAATGGTTTCATGATGGAAATCATTAATAAATAAACAACCAGGCCAGCATGGTGGAAAATGTGAAGGACATGAAGCCATACCAGTTTCCAAAGGATGAACGGTGACATTTCTCAGTTCTGAAAAAGGCTCTGTGTCAGCAACTTTAAATTCCCTTGGATCACAAACCTGGTTTCCAAATGATTTTAAACTTGCTAGTCAGTGGGTTCAAATAGTTACCATTGAAAACGTATCTATTTAGAATGCGTGTACACAATGGGCTGAAACTGATGAAGAATCAGGGTTTAGTCTCTGAAGGGAGAAAGAGAATGAACATTTATGAGGTATCTATTGTATGCCAAGTAGTTTATATTTGAAATCTTATTTAATTTTCACAACAATCCAGTGAGATATTCCCCCGTTTTACAGGTGTAGAAGTGGCTGAGCCCCAGAGAGATTATGTGACTTCATGAAGATAGTACGGTTGGTTAAGTGGAGACAATTTTATTTGAACTCAGTTCTTCACGGTTGCAAAGCTAAACTTTTTTCCAACTGCATTATATTTTGTCTATCGTGTACACTGGGGAGTAGCCTTTTAGGATCCTCATTACCTTGCTATGGACAGGCACAAGGGCCCCAGAGATTCAGGGCTCAACTTATACGAAGGCATCCTTTTTGTTTTGTTTTGTTTTTTGAGATATGGTTTTGTTCTACCTCCCAGGCTAGAGTGCAGTGATGCAATCATGGCTCACTGTGGTCTCAACCTCCCAGGCTCAAGTGATCCTCCTACCTCAGCCTCCCAAGTAGCTGGTCTGACAAAGTCATCCAATTTTAATGGCACAAATGGACACTGACTTATTTGAAGTATACACTTTAAAATTTCTTTTTGGGGAATAGTTCTGCTTCAATATTGAGAAATGTCTGCACCTGATACAAAGAGTTAAGCAAATGATCTGTGAAATCTAGTCAAAAAATTTTTGAAAGAAAAGAGTTCTTATATTATGATTCTATAAAGCTCAAAAATAAGTCAAGACAATGAAAACGGTTAGAAATCAGGATGATGATTACCCCTGGAGGGAACAGTGACTGCAAGCAGGCACCGGGGGACTTCTGGGATCAGGGTATTGCTCTATTTCTTTTTCTTTTTTTTTTTTTTTCGAGATGGAGTCTTGCTCTGTCGCCCATGCTGGAGGGCAGTGGCATGATCTTGGCTCACTGCAAACTCCGCCTCCTGGGTTCAAGCAATTATCCTGCCTCAGCCTCCTGAGTAGCTGGGATTACAGGCACCTGCCACCACACCTGGCTAATTTTTGTATTTTTAGTAGAGACAGGGTTTCACTGTGTTGGCTAGGCTGGTCTCGAACTGCTGACCTTGTAATCTGCCCGGCTCGGCCTCTCA